TCTTATTGTTTGGTGTCGATCGAACTTTTTCTATAGAAAGCAATTTTATAGAGCTCGTTAAAAATAGTCCTCTCGTACATCATAAACAAACGAATACTGTTTGGGAATATTTAGGTACATACGCCCAAACAGATGATACTGTTAATTTCATCTTAGAAATTCCCGTGTTTCAGTTCATGTGCGATGTTTTTCCAGTCTCATTAGCTCATGCTATGAAGGCTTGTACACAATATCGAACTCGTCTCTTAGAGAACGGTAGTGCCCGTCGACTGAATGAATTGGCGGAAGCTCATGTCGGGCAGCGACAAAAAAGACAATTAGGAGAGGTTGCTGTGGGTAGTGTTGCCGTGTATGGTGCGTATAAAATTATTGGTGATCTTTTCGGAGGAAAGAATGATGAAATTATCGATCGGTTAGATAGAAGTGAGAACTTTCAAAAACATCAAGAGAAATTAAACGACGCGCTTGTTACATCAATTCTATCGTTAGAAGACAATAACTTAGTTATGTTGAAAAGTTTTAAACAGATGTTCGATAGTGTGAATGAAACACGTTCTTACATTCATAATCTATTAAAAATGTCGATAAGAGAGCAAAGAACATTTACAGGTTGGGCAAAATTTTCGTTGAAAAGTGAAATGCGTAGACATTATGAACAAATTATGTCGGCTTTTATGAGAGTTGAGAATCATGATTTAAATCTCGAAATGTTTTCTCCGGAACAAAGAACATTTATTCACGAGATTTTATGGCGTCGCATTGAAAAATCTTTACCGTTAAACTTTTCGATTTCATTAGCTCAGTTTGTGCCTAATCTTCTAGTGCAACAAATAATATCCTTTGATCAAGTAAATGAGAGTGAAATCGTATATGAATTGAAAGAAGAGGATTTTAATTTTGTAATTGAAACAGATTCACATGACATTGCTGCTAGAAATGAAACGATAGATCTTGATACCATATTGCCAAAAATTGTCGGACATGCTCGAATAGAAAATATCTTCGGTATTCCATCAAATTCCTCTTCTAAAAAAACAGATCTTTTTAAAATAACACGTCTTCCAATGTTTATTGATAAAAAGAGAGCACTTTATACTGCAAATCTTCCACAATATTTAACGTTAGCTGACGATGGAAGTTCTTCGGAGTGGTTGGAGCATAAGAATAGAAAATGTAACACGGATGAACAATTGAAATTTATGTATTGTTCTATTCCAGTACCTGTGTTTAATGTAATTCAACATCCTTGTTTGAGATCAATTATATTAAACACATCTGTTAATGATTGTCTAAGAGAAACGGTTGATTTGTCTTCGCCACAAGTGATTGAATTCGCACCTAATATACATGCAATTAGCGTTCACACACCATTGCAATGTTTTGAAAAAGGTGATAAAAAAAAATTTAAACGTATTCAGTAACATAACGAAAGTAGCCATTATTAAGACGCGTTGTAATAGTTTTATTTCTTGTGGTACAACTAATTTTCCATCTTTAGGTGGTGTTTGTAATAGAGTTGAAAGTTATGTGTTTACCTTCAATGCTAGTTACGAACACATATATAGACTTGATAAATCAGTAAATTCGATTGAAGTTGAAATTAGCAGTATGAAAGAAATCATGGATATGTCGTCGTTAATCGATTCAGTACTTGAACAAAAGAAACACATAGAAAATGCTCACCTAGACTTTCAATCTAGTATTCATCATACGATTAAAACAAAAACATGGCCAAAGATTTTATTAGCTATTTTTATTTTTACTTTTATCGTCGTTGTCCTGGTTGTCATCTTTGCATCTAAATCCTTTTTAAAGAAAATTCCTTGCTTGTTTCATTATAGAAAATTGATCGATTGTTTAATTCGTACATGTTGTAAAGAAAAAAATTTTCACGATCATAATCCGTCCATTGATGTAGAAGCTGATGTTATGTCGGTTGCACAGAATAACACATTGTACGATAATGTACGTCGTGATAAAATAATGATCTATCAGCGTCAGCCTCTCTTAAATCAAATTGCTTCTAATAATTTGATGACTCATTCGTTAAATAAGAATAGTCATTCTATTGAACTCGAGCCTCTTAATTCAAAAAAAGCACTTGAATCGCTACCTTTGGAAATATTAATTGATTCACCCAATGTCTTTTCGGCCAATAATTCATATAGAATTCCTTTTACTCCATCAAGAAAAATATATGATTATGTGAGAGATCCGTTCGATTTGTCATCAAATCATTCGAGCATAACATCGGGAGAATTTTTCGAAGAAGAACATGAAAGCATTATCTAAAAATACTATACAGTTTCATTTGAGACTTACGAAAATCAACCGTTCTTTTTTTTTCAATTTGTTTTTTTGTACAGCATTTTTAAATCTAACATCTAGTAGTTAGAACAAATTTTTTTGTGTTCGTAGTTGCATCTCGAA